CCAATCAAAACATCCCATTTTATTCGCGCAGCAAATAATGCAATAAAATAGGATGTTTTGATTGGTTAATTTGTGACGCGACGGATGACCCCGACGCGTGACGCGCTCAGTGGGAATTCGCCGTAAACCATTTAACGATTATACGGATTTTGATCGACTCAAGGTTGATTAATGACGTCATTACATCGTCTCCACCAATAAAAGACATGAATTCATAGTAAAATAGTGATTGATCAACCTTGGGTTGATCAAAATCCGTATAATCGAAAACGCTAATTGATACAGAGAATTTTTATTTTCAACATTGGCAATTCTAAATTCGATATATGTGAGTGCTACTGTGACATCATTGACGCAACTCTACATGTCATTTACTTTCCTTGTTCTGCTCTGTTGTTTAAGGTGACGTGTGATCTGTCTGGCATGAATGTTAACATTGGTCTCCACGAATTAATATTGTTGCTTGATAATACATTATTATGCGAAATATGTTAAAACACGCAAGTATTTTAATTGTGTTCCTCTCTATTCTTGAATTTGGGACCGGTCTGTACTTTCATATCGGTGAGACGGAACGAAAATGCTTTATTGAAGAGATTCCTGACGATACTACGGTCTTAGGTAACATTCAATGCCTACTATTAACATATAAGATTAAAATATAAGAGTTCCAACTGTTCTTAATAATCTTTCAAAATGAGATTATTCAGCTAGAACTCGACAAATTGTGTATTGTTAACACAGGTATACATATAAATTGTTGTACACATTGTAACACAGATGGTTTCTCTTGGTTAGTTTACTGGATTGATTAATTTTACAAATAAGAGCTGTGGAAAAAAATTAATAAAAAAACTTGCTTTTTAAAAAATATTCTTATCATTATTATTAAAAAAAGCTCACTGTAAAATATTATTTTTTACACATAATTTTACAGTCAATTATAAGGTGGAACTTTATGACCCAAGAAGCGGAGGCTTTATGCCCAGCAGTCCTGGTATCGGCATGCATGTAGAAGTAAAAGATCCCGATAACAAACCTATTCTCTCTAGAGTTTACAGCTCTGAAGGTCGAATCTCTTTTACTTCTCAAACACCAGGAGAACATATTATCTGCTTGTATTCAAACAGTACTGCCTGGTTCAGTGGTTCTCAACTGGTAAAATACATGTCTATTTTAAAAGTTTTATTATCGTGATATTAAATTGCAATATAATATGTTAAATTGAGATATCAAAAGTAAAGTGAAATAAAAAACAAGCTTTCCTTAAATTAAGCAATATAATTAAACTGTTTTTATTTACAGAGGGTGCATTTAGATATTCAAGTAGGAGAAAATGCAATTGACTATGCCAATGTAGCACAAAAGGAAAAGTTGTCTGAGCTTCAACTTAGAATACGCCAACTCTTGGATCAAGTCGGACAAATAACCAAAGAGCAAAATTATCAAAGAGTATGAAGCAAAATGTTAACAATATTTGTCTTTAATCTCTTAAGTGTTAATACATATATGCATTATTTGAAAATTAAACAATCCAAAAGTTTGACTGCAGAGCTCAGCATTTCAAAAAGCGTTGAATATATGATATTTACATAAATTTGATCATTTCTTAAAAGTTATTTTTGGTAATAAAATGTTTTTATTTCTTAACACATAAGAGGTCAAAAAGATATCTTACATAATATAAGAGAAAAATAATAAAAATATTTAAATTGCTATATATATTGTGAGACACTATCATGTATCTTAAATGTGAAAACATTTCTGTTTTCAGTATCGGGAAGAACGTTTTAGGCAAACATCGGAAAGCACTCATCGTCGTGTATTTTGGTGGTCTCTGGCTCAAACTATAGTTGTTCTAATTATGGGTGCGTGGCAAATGAAGCATTTGAAGAGCTTTTTTGAGGCAAAAAAATTAGTTTAATTATTTTAATAAAATATGTTAATTTTAGCAGCAACGTTATTTACATGTCTAAATTTCAGTTGTAGCTTTAGGTCATTTTCATTATAAACAATTCTTTAACAGATCTCTCATCAAGTAAACATTTGTATCAAACTGTCGATTATCTTCTAAAGTTAACAAATTGCTTGTAATTATATAATATATTGCATAATATGTAATAAGTTGTAAAAATAAAGATGTCTTGAATTAAATTGAATATCATCCATGCTTTAAAGCTGATATTTCACTTAAATTTAATAGTCTTGTTAAATTATAATGACATTATATTAAATTTTCATTTGCATAATATTATAATTATATTTATTATTTTTAATTAATTATTTAGATGTATTATAATATTTACTATATGCAGTAATGTAATTATTGGAACATACGAGTTTTTTTACCTTTATCAATTTCCAATTATATTTTTCAAATTTTTCATCAAATGGTAGGGGATCTGTTGTATAATTATTACCTTGCATAGGTCCAATGACGAGAATTAAATTACCTTTGTAATTTTTTATATAATTACAGAATGCTGCACTGTTATTAAAGTAGCAAAATAACATGGCATATCGTTTTGGTACTTGGAAATTCATTGTCTTGTTCTCAATAAAGATTATGTTTTTCAACAATTGTGGTGGAGAATACTTGCAGTTCCACCAGGAACTATCCAATTCTATACCTACAATGTCTAATCCTTAAAAATATAATTGTAATGAAGAGTAATTGTAAGAGTATTGTTAACCCTCAGTGCACACACTATATTTCACTCCTTATCTACACACGCATGGGGTAGCGTAACCCATCATTTTCTTTTGCTTGTATCTCAGACTGTAATGCATCGATTCGAATGTTCTTTTTTTTTTTTTTAATCGATAGCTTAGAGTTAAAAAAAAGAATTCTTTACAAAGTAACAAAGTCAGAAATATCCCGGCACAAAAGATATTTTGAAATAAGTAAGAAGAGAAATTTCCTAATGCCGCATTATTTTCGAACAGCCTGGGTGACGCTAACCCAGTGTGTGTACTGAGAGTTAAGAATGTATACACACACAATTAATTTTTAGAGGGCCGCAAACACATTGTAACACCTCTGATTTAAAAAAAAGATATGTCTTTTCAACTAGCACAAAACCTCGTTTTATAATATTTCAGTCTACTATATTAGATTATTATTCGTTCTTTTTACAACAATTTTATAACTTTGACTTTAAATTTGTAATCATTGATCTTCGAAACTTATAATTACTAATTTGATTTGAAAAAATCTAAAAAAATGCTATACGAAGCCATAACGAGAGATATCGTTTCGAGAGAAAAATTTTTTATAATTTTAAAAAGAAAAATAGCAGCTCTCTATAACGATTAATATTTATCTGAAAGATTTACCTGAATATTTTTGTAATAACCATTCTAGTAATCCACAACCGCAACCAATGCTTGCAATTCCAAATAAATTATGTTTTCGTACAATATCATTTATCCAACGCAAGTCACTCATGTCAGGCAATATCCATGACAATTTACTAGTTTTAAGATCGTCAGCAGTAGAAGATAAAGCAGCAATCTCTTCCCATTTTTCAGCATTATATAATAAAATAATTCTTTTATCGATATTAGCCCTCATTGTTTCTGACATTTTTCCATATACATATATCACAAATAATTTTTAATCAACTTGTTAGAATAACTTAAAGAATAAAATAACGTGACATCACGTTTGTATCATAGAATACGAAATACTGACCGTTATAATTATTTTAAAGCGAGGAAGGGTTTATCTGTGAACTCTTGTGTAATTTTGCCAATAATAGATATTGGCTCATCACTAGTCAGTATAGTCTAATATATACACATATCTCATATTTCCGAACACGTTCATTCGGCAGCTGTATGACGCAATGTTGATGCGATTAACTTGAAATAAAAATGTAAATTATATTATTAAAATAGTATAAATATTTATATATAAATAGTATATATTTATTTTGACGAAATATTTTCTCAACAAAAAAATCAAATATTTTATATTTGTACGTTAATAATTAATTAAAAATTGTCAGATTTTAAAAAAATCACATATTTGCAAACGCATTTTTATTAGTTAACGTTTATTATATATGATATAAATTTATATCATAGAGAAAACAATAACAGTTGCAAAATGATTGATATAAGGTGAATGTCACAGTATTCGCACATGTTATATTTAATATTAATATTAAGAAGAATCTATGGCGTCTATGGCTAAAGAAATAACTTATATCTATTGCTAGTTGTTTTAATATTATTAAAAATATCTCGATTTCACGTCAAATATTATAATATGTAGGCCGCTTATCAAATATTTTATAAAATAAAATCGCGGGCAATACGTACTTAGAAACCCTAGAAATATATAATAAGCCTATGCTTGTTTACTAAACGTAATCGTTTGTGATTGGTGTATACTTCCAAATCTACCAACATATTCATTTCCTATAGGCTTAAGGTCGGAGCACAATCTTTTGCATAAGGCGTAACACATAAGGGAATCAACCAATCAGAGATTCGCAGAATGAGGAGTGAAAATAAAAATGAAGGTCTCTGATTGGTTGATTCTTTTATGCGCAAAACCTTATGTAAAAGTCTGTGCTCCGGCCTTTACAGTCAGCAATTTAATAGCGTCATTAGCGGAAAACCTAGTAACTTTGCCCTACTGTTGAGTCCGCTGAATGCGACCGTTGTCGCATCTTCCCAATATTTCTGACCGAGACGATCGAGACCTCATTCACGCAATGCTGCCAGAAACGAGCGGCGGCATCACACTAATC